GCTTTTCACTGCAGCAAACACGACCCGGGCAAAAGAAATGCCAGAGGTTGACCCTAAATACCGAGGATCAGAGGTTCCTTGGACCGACACCATGCCAATATTCGATACCAAGTTATGTATCCTCCAATTATCTTCTTTTTCAGGATCGACGTTGTTCTCCGAGTCTTCCCCGTTCTCTTTATGTTTGTCTGCTTTCAATACGGAGCCTTCTGTTTCTCCTTTCATTTGCATCAGTTTGTCACTCCCGTCCGACGCCAGCACCTCAGCACCTGCAGGCGCGTCGGAGCCAGCCATCTTTGTCAGAGCGGGATCATGGCCCGCCTCTACCTTAACCGCTTCTTCTTCATCAAAAGCTACTGCTCCCTTATGATCGATTTGGTGTTCCATCAGCACCTTCTCCAGGTATGTCACGCGAGCCTCTAGGAAGTATACATAGCTCCGGGGGATTTCCCTCTTGGTGATAGGGTCATATCCGACACACCGGACGCCGGCTTTTTCGCAGGACTGACATCGGGGAAGCCGTTGGTCGCAGCGGTTCTTGCGCAGGCGGCAACGGTTGCAGGCCGACACATTGCGGAATGAGGAGGAATTGGATGCGGGGGCGGTGGAGGAAACGTTTACCGGTGTATGCTGATGTGATCGCACCAACGACTCCGGGTGGATCGAAGAAGGCTCAGTAGGCGGGCGTGGTCGTTTTCTCCCTATGGATGTCGGCGAAGCCGGGGAAGTAGGGTTGAGCATGGCGGGAAAGGTACGGCGACAAGAAGCGCCAACGCACGAGCATGTCTCGCCGTTGGAGTTGTGCGGAAAGTCGAATCAAGTGGGGAGGGAGGTGCACCGTAAATCCAGAGACACAGCAGCATTCATATTAAAACATGCGCCGACTTCTCTTCTCTCGCCGGTCCTGGTTTTAGTCTGCACAGAGGCTTAGGAGGAGATGATGGCCGGGAAACTGTCTCCTCAGTTGAACGGCGATCCGCGGACTTTATTAGTTTCCGAGATGATAGTCAGGGCCTGAGGTTCTTGGAGGGCTGGACAGTCGCAGCCCATGACGGTGGTAGCCCGTCACCACACACGCAGTTTCAATTGTCGCGTAAGGTCCGACTGATTAGAGACAAAAGTGAACAGCAGAACAAAGAAAAAAAGAAAAAAGAAAAAAGAAAGAAAAAAACTGGAGTTCAATATAGACCAAACTGGTGGAGCTGGCAATGGGGACGCTGCATTTACTTCGGTACTAGTAAGAATGTATGAACCATGTAAAGCTGGGGTCGGATGGACTAGAGGAGAAAACAGTCAATAGTTGACTTTGCCAGAGCCACCCTCAATTGACGAAAAACTGTTTGGCTTCATAACAGCCCAGTATCTGGATCTCTCTCTCTAGAGTTTAGAGACACAGCACGAGTAGCTGGGTTGTCGCTCGACTTTTGAAGCAACTCCCGAAAAGGAAGTCGACCGCGAAGCCCGCAGCTCGAACAGTGAGTGACAATACCGTACCCAAATACTGCACGTGATTCTATCATCTCAAAGGCAAGATTGATGATTGGTTACTGATAAGGAGCATCTCTGGTTTTGTCAGCAACCACCAAAACTTACGCGGAACACAGTGGAGTCAAGATGAAATACTTGGCAGCGACACCGTTCCTTCTAGACAATTAACTAACCTATGACAATTATATTAATGTCTAACCCTTCCAAATAATCATCTTAGAACCTATTCGCTCCCACTACTCTCGAGCTCAACTGGCGTGGTTGTCCGGTTGAGGAATAGTTTCCCGGTCTGTCTCCCGTTGCTCCCTGGATCCCAGTCACTTTAGGGCATTACAACTGTGTGATATTTGCCGGGGTCTATATTAGATATTAATTACGGGGTACGCCATAGACTTAATCAAGCCTGGCGTATTCATCCTTCTTGCATACATCTGCACGGTCCATTTGCTTAATGAGCCCATCTAGTGTGCGTGCTAGTAGTGGACGAAGCTATAAGATCAACAAGGTAAAATTGTCCGGATCGAGAGTAAGTCACTAAAAATCGCCCGACTTGTCACTCAATTGCCGAACTAAGGCCAAAACATTCCCTCTACCATTAACAGCACATATCATCGACTAGATATCTTTAAATGGGGTGGGGGGAGATGGTCGAAGGACCGTTGGCTGTAGAATGAGATTGAGAACTCTCAAAACACGAAAACCACAACGGAAATGGGCATGATGAGCTACGGAGGTCGAAGCCGACCAGGCGAACATTCGGTCTAAATGTTCCCAGCATCATCTGGACTCTGTTGGAATGATGTTGTCCGGCGAGGTGCAGCGTTGGGGAACGTTGAAGCTTATGTAAGGGGCCAAAGTACGAGGGGCAATGCAGACTATCGCTGCGCGGGGCCAAAAGTGAAGATATTCGCAAGCATTGCGAGCACCGAGTCTACAGGGAACACCGCCGAGATGGAACCATCCAAGAAGTTAAATCAAGCCAAACAGGGAGAATCCGGAGGATTGTTCGTCCACCTTGTTCTCCAGAAATAGATTCTGCACTCCGATGAGTTGGATATATGGTAATAACAAAGCCTCCCAAATGCATAATAGCGCGTGCCCAACCCAACAATGCTCAAATGATGATCATGAAAAAAGAAATAGCCGACCCAATGCTTTTAAAGATGCATCCAGTCTATGAAATGCGCCTTCACCCAGACTTAAATCATGATGTAACACCAAAGGAAATAAACCAGAACGAAAAATGAACAGAACCAAATCAAAGCTAGCCACCACCAGATGGGATATTCAACGAATCCAGAATGCAAGTTAAAACAAGTGTATAAGACCAACAGTAGATGGGTCGAAGAAAAATTGAGAAGAAGACAAAAGTAAACAGAGGGGAAATGGACCCAGCAAGCATGATGTCAGATAACAAAGAGACGTGGTAAATGATGTCGAGTGTCATGCGGAGTCGTGTTTAGGTCACGTCATGCGAAATGGCCAACTCAATCATGCTCGTGCTTGGCGTGGATTTGTGTCAAATCGACGTTGAGAATTTCAGAATCGTCAACACTAGTCCGTGCAGAGGACAATAATCTCCGCACTTCTTCTGGGGTGGCGTCCTCCTTGCCCGCGGTGTACGAGCCCCGCAGGTTGTTCTCGCTTGCATTGCGTTCATGCTGCTCGGTTTGCTTCGAGTCAGTTTTCGAGTCGCTCTCCTCCATCCAGAAGCTCTCGATGGCTCCAATTATGCAAACAATGCCGCAGGCCCACCAGGCCAACACAGAATATCCACTTTCGAGACCTTTAGAGTGAAGTAGCCCAGTGATAGTTGGGCCGAAAGCACGGCTCAGACTGGCCGTCGAGGCAGCCGCACCATTAATGGATCCAAGCACTTTAGAGGACGGCGCAGCGTTGGCGAGCAAAATAGCGGTAGACGGAAACGCGATGACATGGAAGGTGATCTTGCTGATTAAGGAAACGTATACCGCGGCCATCTGAAGCGCTTCGGGGAGGAGAATGAGGTATGGAACCAGCAGGTAAAGAGGAGGCCAGACAAGGAGCACGAAGCGGAAAGTACGCAAAGTGCCAAAGTGGCGGACAACGAATGGGAACAGCCAGAGCTGGGCAATCATAGAGTAGACACCCTGGACTGCGAGCATGAAGCCGATTGTCTTCGTGGGCAGACCGAGGCCTCCGGTAAATTTGAACGGCAATACGGTATCTTCCTCGGACTTGGGAGTGCTTAGGAAAACGGGCATCAGCTGATCAAAAGAGACGCTGTGGCTGTAATGAATGTCAGTATCAACATCGACCTTGGATCTACTAGTCGGGAAAAAAAGGCTGGGGTCGGTGCTACTTACTATGCGAGGATTCCGTAGGCAATGATGTTGAAAATCACTTGTCTAGTAAAAGCCTTGGGAGTTCCGCAGTTCTCATTCTTCATCTGGCCTTCAATGTCGTCATCATCGGACAAGTTGTCCAAATCCTTCATGGGGGACAGCTGCGGCGAGGACTCATTGCTCTTGTACTCGGGTGGGGGAACATCGTAGTCGAGATAATCCGCATTTTGTGGTTCCACCTTGATACTCATGTCCTCAGTCAGCTGTACAGAAGATCTGCGGCATTTTCCGATGAGCCAGTTGCCCAACTCCAAACCAAGGTCCCGGCGGTGCTTTTTTTCCGGATGGGTCTCCTCCAAGAACAGGAAGCCAACCACAATTCCGAACAGGAGAACAACAACGCAGACCACGTTGGGCAGCAGAAATGGAAAAGTTTCCAGGATAGTGCCGCGCGGAAATAACCAGGGATAGTTTTCGCACGGCTGCGCCAGCGCACCGCCCATGGCGGGTCCGATGATCGATCCTAAGCACCAAACAAACGGCATGATCGAGTAAGCTCGGGGTTGATGTTCCTTGACCGTGACAATCTCCGCAACAGTCGTCTGAAGCACTCCGATGTTCCCATTCAGCAGGCCTCCTAGAGCTCGGGCGACCATGGCCGTAGGTAGATTGGGAGCGAATCCAAACACTATCATACTGATAGCGGTTCCGATCAGCCCCATGATTAGCACTGGCTTTCTGCCGATCTTGTCACTCATGCGTCCCCAGAACATGCCCGTAGAGAACTCGGCGAACGTAAACGCAGAGGTAATCATGCCTGCGTACAGGGCAATTTTGCGATCATTGTCTGTCACGTGGAATGATTCTACCATGTGATAGACATAAGGAAAAATGGACATGAACGCAATTGGCTCGCAGATTCGGCAACATGCTTGTCAAGCTGTCAGTGATAAACTCGGGACCAAAGAGATACATGGGCTGATCAAGATGGAGAAAAGCCAAGCAGCAAGCAGACGCTACCGCAGAAGACACGGTGCACATCCAGATTCTGGAGTTGGGTGAAAATCCAGTATTGACATACCTAACACGAAAAGTTGGCGTACAGGAAAGGCGGACCAATCACCACCGCCGCCGCCACCATCCTGGCGTTGTCGACCACCCGAGAGACGTTTGAACATTGTAACAGTGGAAACTCTGTTCTCGGATTCGAATACCCTTGCAGGGAAGGGAAAGGGATTTTAATCAGTCTCGTCCTAGCTACAAGATAGCAATTGACGGAAGATATGGCCGAGAGGAATGTGTCTCCGTTCCAGATCCTCTGGTCGTTCTGAAGGGAGGGAATGTAATGATGATAAGATCGTTGAAACTGGTAGCAGGATCGTTCTTTTTTTAAAAAAAATTATTTTTTGTTAAAGGAGTTTCAACATATCTTGCCCCTGGCGCAATTTAATCTCAGTGCTGTTCTGACCGAATACCACCTAGATTGTTTTTCGACAATTGCACGGTAATTTCGCAAACCCTAATTGGGGACCAATATAGGGAACATCCAAAAGGGGTGTTAAGAGGAATGAAGATTGAAGAGATAAGACCTTCCGAACCAATGGCGTCGTGAAAAGCAACAGTGAGAAGGAATCAGATGTATTGCCAGGTGTTGGAAGGAGGGAAGAGTCAAGAGTGGTATAGCTGTCCTGAGGTCCGGTTGATTGAAGGATAGTTGTGAAGGACCGAAACAGAAGCAGGAGATCAATTAGATTGGAAGCGAAAAGGATATATATCTTTTGGAAAGGAAGAAAGACAGGAGAGGGAAGGAAAGGAAAATAAATTATAGAAGGAGGGACCTGGACGGGAAGTGGAATAAATGAAGTATTTGAAGTGGATATCTGAGATATGTGATCAGGCGAAAGACTAAAAAGCATCAAACTGCAGTACATAGATCATGACAATATGGAGTCCATTTCGGTTACAGCTGTACAGAGAGTCTGGTGCGTGATGCAGTTACAGCAAACAGTTGAGTAGTAATGAGACCCACAATTGAATTATTATTTACGGCTCATTTTTAATTTTTTTAGTTTTTAGATTTTTTAATATTATATATTATATTTTTTTTTTTCTTTTTTTT